AAGTAGCCGGTCTGAAAAGAGAGCCTTCTCCACGGCTTCTTCTGGCTCTCGGTTCGTCAGGAGTGTCCTCGGCGGGCTCCCCCACTCTTTTGTGCAAGCCGGGACAGTGGGATGAATGACGTGTCCTGCCCCAAGCGGCATGCTTCTGCCGTGGTGTAACTAGGGGGGTGCCAGGGGGGGGGCAGACCCGTCGGGGCTTCGATGTGGATGCCTAGCTGGCCGAGCTCTGCAGGCAGGCGTCGGTGCCAGCAGCGCCACTTCGACGTCCTGTCCATGCCGCGGATGTCTAAACAGGGTCTTTGATTCTCTTTGATCCATGAGGGTGGTCTGGAGATCAGATCAAGGGCCAGGGCCTCGGCGTCATCATATTATGGCTCTAGTGTAGTATCGGATCGTCGAGCCGACAGAGAAGAAGTAGCGGAGTAGAAGATGCAGCAACAAACGAGCAGCATATTTAGCCATAGCAACGGCCGCGCTGTGGCAGTGGCAATGGTAATGGTTCTACCTTGCATATATGTATGTATGTATATTCATAAGACTCACGCGGCATGCAGACAAGCGCCCAACCCGCAAGCCTTCTTCTGCATATCCCAACAGAAAGGCCGTCCGGACCCCGACACGGCTCCACACCCTGAGCCCTTGCACCCTAAAGCCATGCGGCCCGTGAGACCGACGCTACAGCTCTTCACACAGTGGACCTCCTGGTCTTGTCCAGCGGCACGCTGCGTCGGACCTGATTGGCCACGAGGGTTTCGTCCGGTTTGGGAGCCCGGCGCTGTACTTTCGAACTTTCTTGAAGGTTTCCTCAGACATCCCTTTGCGAAGTCTGAGCTCGTAACACACAAGTCATGTAACCTGTGTTGAGGACGTGGCGCCGGGTGCTTTGAGGGGCTATGGCTATGGGTCAAGGGTGTAAGATTTGACATGCAAGCGCTTGGTTCAGGCTGAGTTCCGTACAAGATATGAAAATTCACACCTCGCTCCTCAAATTCTTTAATGCAAATATCCAACACTTACTTCACTTGGCTGAAGTAATACCTCGCAGTGGTCTCCGTCAACACCAGGATCGCAAAACCAGCCACATCAACCAGCCCATGCCAACTCATGGGAAGCTCACAGAGAGGCTCTGCAAAGCCCCAAGAGGGAACAGTTTCAACGTGGCCGGTTGAATGTTCAGGGCTCGAAAGTTCACATTACACCAGCGAGGAACCAAAACAGTTCAGAGTGGAATGGCATGTTCACAGACTGCAGCGCATTTTGGCTTTACCCCGTAAGAAAGAAGCCCGAGACTTCAAAGGTATCAAACGTACGGGAATGACAAAGACTCCTGGCTATAGACTTAGGCACCACCACTCGTTGGAGGTCAGCCAATTCCGGTCTTGGGCAATATATCACACACATATACGTGGCAGCAACCCCGTGAAATCAAGAGGGTTGCGGTTCTGGCCATGACGACTTATTGAGGGGTGTGTATTCCGGGTGGATGTGGGCCAACATCCACGCTTGAGGGGTGGATGTTGGGCCAACATCCACGCTTGAGGGGTGGATGTTGGGCCAACATCCATGCTTGAGGGCGCTTGAAAGGTGGATGTTGGGCCAACATCCATGCTTGAGGGGCGGATGTTGGGCCAACATCCACGCTTGAGGGGTGGATTTTGGGCCAACATCCACGCTTGAAAGGTGGATGTTGGGCCAACATCCATGCTTGAGGGGTGGATGTTGGGCCAACACCCCTCAAGCGTGTTGCGGGACCTGAATGATTCTTTGGAACCCTTCAGGGCCCACATGCGGGGCCTGAAGGGTCTTTTGGAATCCTTCAGGGCCCACATGTGGGGCCTGCAGGATGTTTTGGAATACTTCATTGCCCACATGCGGGGGCTGAAGGGTTTTGTTGGAATCCTTCAGGGCCCACATGCGGGGCCTGAAGGATTTTTTTGGAATCCTTCATGGCCCACATGCGGGGGCTGAGGATATTTTGGAACCCTTCAGGGCCCACATGGGGGGCCTGAAGGATTCACACATGCGGGGCCTGAAGGGTTTTTTGGAATCCTTCAAGGCCCACATGCTGGACCAGAATATTTGGAATCCTTCAGGGCCCACATGCGGGGCCTGAAGTGTTTTTGGGAATCCTTCAGGGCCAACATCCACGCTGGAGGGGCGGATGTTGGGCCATCATCCACGCTTGAAGGGTGGATGTTGGGCCAACATCCACGCTGGAGGGGTGGATGTTGGGCCAACATCCACGCTCCGGCCGTGGCCACCCACATGAAGGGGAGACAAAGGGAGACACATGGAGACATGCAAGCCAGGGACCCGGCAGGAGCATCCGGCTAGGTCTGAATTTCTAGAAAGAAACAGGAACCCCTACGGCAAACTGTTTGGGGAAAAATCAAACGCCCCTGGTCTTTGAATTTTCGCCTCCTGAACATTCAAAATCAAAAAGAAGGGTCCTGAAAATTAAGAAAACAATGTTTCAGAACTTTCCTTCGGGGCCTCCAAAGGCCTTGTTGAGACGACGCCACGAGGATTCGAGGCCCACTCGAGTAAGTTTAGGACACCTCGCAGTCGCCACAAATTTCCAACTGAGTGTCGCGAGCGTCAGTTAGCTTGCTCAGCTCGTTATAGTTTGTACACTCTAAACTCTAAACCCTATAAACCCTATAAACCCTAAACCCAACACTGCGTTGCAGAAGGGTGAAGTCACTTCAGTCTCTGAGCTCAAGGCGCGCCGCACGCGGCTCCTTCCCCACGGAGCTGGCGCAGCCCATGGTGTCCAAGGCTCTGAAGCAAGGACAAGAAGCTAAGAGCTGGTTTTGCACAAGCTTCTTTGGACGGTTGCGCGTATCTTGAACATCCATGCCGGGCAGGTGTCTACCTTTTAGAGGCTGCGGAGCCCAAGAGGTGTTACACCGGCAGCAGTCTGGCAAGCGGACACAAACAACTTCCACCAGCGTAGCAGCTTAGTATACGTGGTGAAAGCATAGTCTTACCATCGTACGATAGACTGCCACGGAAGTTGAACTTACGGTGATAGCGGCCTGTGGCTGCAGGGTTGCAGGGTTTTAAGGGTTTGCTCAAGGTTGAGCTTAGGGGGGGGGGGGGGGGGGGCGCATGACCTTTTTTTCATCCTGGCGCAGTGGCTGCGTCAATGTCTTCACCTTCCCCAATCTCCAGGTCAACCAAGCCACTAACCTCAGACTGGCAACTGCCAGGAAGGCTAGCGGCTAGCAGCGTACGGCTTACGGTGCTGTGCTCAACCATGCCCCATGACCTATGCTCAGATTCAGTCGTGTCCCGCTGTAAGTAAAGCTCTCCCGCACGCTGCCTGAACCCATGAACCAACATTACGGATGGCTCGAGAACAGACAACACAGCAGAGTAGAAAAGCACCGGTGCGTCCGCAACAAGAGCATGCTGAAAAGAAGGAGGGTGCAGGTTGGCCGATGTCGCCAGGCGACATACCCCCCCATGGCAGCGTCCACCTCCTCAATGGCCGTCTCCACGGCAGCCATCACGATGCTGTCCGCTAGAAATGGCCAGATCACCTGAATGCTGAGAGACCATTGCTTCTGACACGTCATGCCGCTGCGGCATCTCGTACCCAGAAAGTCCGCGTGTAGTACTATTCTGGAATTAGGTACCCCAAGTCTGTGCACAGTATGGTTGCTGGTGCCTCATTCCATAATCGCCACCCGAAACCCCAAATCCTATGAACCTCAAAGGGCGCTGCTGGGGTGCTAAGCGCCAGACCCAGGTGGCCGTGCGAGCCCCGGGACCACTTTGGATCCCTGCCTCGAGGACCGGAACTCTTGTAGCAACTGCACCATTCTTGGAGGTTCATGGGTAGTTATAAGTAGGGTTCGAAGTACCTTAGATGTGGTATACGTACAGCCACCAAACTTATAACTCTACTTAAAACTACCCATGAACCTCCAAGTACAGCTTATGATCATCATTGTTACTGCTGTCACTAGCTTTGACATTGCCATAACACTACTAACCCGCTACTAATACTATCCATGTTTGTTTTTTTGCCATTTTCAGATCAGCATGCAACGGAGGCCTCTCGCGCAGTCAGGCAATGCCTTGCAAAGCGAGAACCTGGACATCCAAGGCAGAAGGCTTCGGGTTTGGGGCTTGGGGTTTGGGGTTTGGTGGCCTCCTTATCGGCGATTCTTGCTTAAACGGCGTCCGTGAAGGGGGACCCAAATGCAACCTCGAACAACCCGCGCACGACCGAACTACAACAGCCCCTAGCAGTGTCAACGCCACAGATTATTAGCTTTGTAGTACTAGTCGCATGATTCGTATTCATCTAATTAGTATGATGAGTCCTGATCGTCTTGTTAGTTATTGATAGTACCATGATTCATGTCATGCTGGAACCTATCAGCGCCCCTGCTGCCTTTCTCGCCCTGAACACCTCGAGACAGGAAGAACTATCTTCAAACCAATTTAAGTGCCATGAGCACCATCATCCAAAAAATCAGATGAAGCATGAACGATGAGTTGAGCGCCTTTGAAGGCGCCAGAATGCATGCACCGTGGCTAGTGCCAAACCCTAAACCCTAAACCCTAACATTTGTAAGGCCGAGCTGCGATAGCGCTCCAGCTCACGGATCCGCGCTGCGGGCAGTGAAGCAAATCTCCAGCCCTGTCGGTGCAGCCACAGGGCCCTTGTGGGGAACAATGCTCACCGTCAGCCCTGAACAAAGGATAAGGAGAGAAGTGGCCCAATTCAACGCACTTCCTAAATGCTAAGCCAATTTTGCATGCATCACGCAGCATGGACTCTTACAGGTAGTGGGTTGCAGTCGTCAACACGCAAGGTTCCTGGTAGCTTCCAGCAGGTTACGGTGATTTTCAGCAAATTCCACAGTTAACTTTTCGTTAGGCCTGACTGCAAGCGTCACAAGCCCTTCAACAACCCAAATCCGACACGCCGGAGCGCATCCCGATATGCAGAACAACCCAAAGCCCAAAGCCAAACACCCTAAACTCTAAGCCCTGTCCTCCTCTTCCTCCTCCTCCTCCGAGTCTGGGCAGGAGCTCACATGCAAATGGCGAGCTTCCTGGACTCTGCTGCTGGGAAGAGGCTGCATGAGGATACCGAGTTTGTGGAAGTTTTTTTCATTTTATTCGGTTGTTGTTTAAACTTTTTTTTGGGGAGGGTTGTCTCTATACTATGGACAAAGCAATCTCGTGCTCATGCTACCAAAGAGGGCCAATCATCTAGATGAACTCTCATTTGGGCTGCAGGCTTGTTTCAGTAGGGTGGTTTCTTTGTTGAGCTTCGGATTCAGGGTTGGCCGGCCAGGGGAAGGGGGGGGGGGGGGTTTCGCAGCTTGCCTTGCCATGGTTCGGTGCTGAGTGCGGAGAGTTGCGGATGGTTCCTGAATCAGGTTGAACCCTAAACCCTAGACCCTAAACCCTAAACCCTAAACCCTAAACCCTAAACCCTGTGCGTTTTGGGCCCGAGCTGAGTCCTTAGGGCCCTTCGGGCTCGCTCCAGGCAAAAAGGGAACCAGACACCTCAAGCAAAAACTGAGAGGGTCCTGCTTGGGACTCCTTCCGGCAGCGGGCTCCTCCAAGCCAGCATACACGAAACTGACACAAACAAGCTATGCCTAGCTGTGCCTCTTTACCTGTTGCAACGCGCAGAATTCGTCTCTTCTGTGAATGCTGACCGAGCTGAACGAGATCCTGCTGGAGGTACGTCAGCTTGAGCTCGTGCTCCAGCATCTCCAACTTGTCCTCAGCGTGCTGCACCTGAAGCAATGGACTGGAGGTTGCTGCAGCTTCCAGGCATCGTGAAAGACTCTTGATCAGCACAACTGTCGCTGTGATTCTTGTGATCTACTGTGATACTCATTCTTTGATACTACGACGACTGCTTCTGTTGGTCAGAATATGACTGCCAAATTCAATGAAGACTTGGGGTTCGAACAGCTTGCCCGATCCCACCCCTAAACCCTAAACCCTAAACCCTAAACCCTAAACCCTAAACCCTAAACCCTAAACCCTAAACTCCCAGGTGGCCCGGCCAGCTTCTCCAAGCTTTCCGCCCGCGGGTCGCGCGTCTGCCCGTCTGCTTCCTCGTGCCGCGGCTGAGGCCGCCGGTCGTCAGAAGGCACGGAACCTGGGGAGCCCAACAAGCCTTCTAACTTAGGGTTTAGGGTTTAGGGTTTAGGGTTTAGGGTTTAGGGTTTAGGGTTTAGGGTTTAGGGTTTAGGGTTTAGGGTTTAGGGTTTAGGGTTTAGGGTTTAAGATCTTAAGCAAATGAGGAGCCCAGGTCGTTTTCCCCTACTGGGGCACACTCAAAACAGCAGAGGAAAGCTCTGTATAGATCCCCCTATACATACCCTTTAAGAAAGTTATATAGGGCACCTCATTCCCCCATTCCCTGCTAAGAACCAGACGGACACCCTAAACCCCTAAACCCCTAAACCCTAAACCCTAAACCCAAAACCCTAAACCCTAAACCCTGAACCCTAAACCCTAAACCGCCGGGTCCCCGACGCATGGAGTGCTGCTGGCGCTTCTCGGGCAGCGCATCGAGGCGGTGAAGTGCATCTCCTCGGAGCTCGGGGTTTACTTGGGACTTTAGGGTTTAGGGTTTAGGGTTTAGGGTTTCGGGTTTAGGGTTTCGGGTTTCGGGTTTCGGGTTTAGGATCCAAAGTACCAATGATCAGGGCACTCGACCCTGAAAAAACACAGCGCATGGGCCCGTGCAACGGGTAGTTTGCGAAAGTGTGGGTAGGGCCTCGGACTACTTCCCCAGCCCGCAGGCTGCACGTCTGCCTCTTTTTGAAAAACTATACTAACCCCAAAACATCCCTAGGCCCTAACCCGTAAACCCTAAGAATGAGGCGCTATACTTTAAGAGGACCCTAAACCCTAAACCCTAAACCCTAAACCCTAAACCCTAAACCTGGGGACCCCCCTAGTTCCCTGGAACTCCCCTTCTCTGAATCGGAGCAAAAGGTTCCGAGGAGGTGCTCCAACACTCCGTCCGTGAGAAAGTCAACCTGCAACAGCTGGGATGTTCCCCCTTATACAACAGTCCTGAATAGGGGTTTAGGGTTTAGGGTTAAGGGTTTAGGGTTTAGGGTTTAGGGTTTAGGGTTTAGGGTTTAGGGTTTAGGGTTTAGGGTTTAGGGTTTAGGGTTTAGGGGGTTGTAGTACCCCCTACCATAATCCTCATTAAGGACTGCTAGAAGAAGGGGGAACATCCCAATGCAACAGGGTCAAAGGCTTTGGGGGTTTGAAGGTGTTCTTAGGTTCTGGGGTTCCAGGGTTTTTAGGGCTTGGGGCTTAGGGCTTTGGCTTCGACTCCTTTTTGGCTTTAGGGGGTTGGGTGTGGGGCTTGGTGCTTAGGATTTAGGGTTGCAGGGGTTTTGGTTTAGGGTTGAAGGTTTAGGATGTAGGTTTTATGTTTAGGGTGCACGTTCGCAAGAAGCGCGCAGGATGGGAAGCACGAAGCAGATCCGGTCCTTGCGAACAACTTCTGCAGCGTTCTGCCTGGTGAAAGGAAAGCGGAGCAAGGCATCGTCCCACAACTCCGAAACCCGTCATTGTATAAAAACCGGGCAAATACACCCCCAGTATACATAACCCCACACAAACCCTTGCACGACTGTAACCCTTGTATCAAAACTCTTTCCCTGTAAAGCAACCTAAACAACCCCTAAAGCCCCTTTCAAAGCCCCTCGCAACCAACTGTGCAACCAGACCCTAACCCTAAACCCTAAACCCTAAACCCTAAACCCTAAACCCTAAACCCTAAACCCTAAACCCCATATCCTGGTGTGCAACCGGGGAGCTGAAGAAGTGCACCCGGCGCCACGTCCCGGCGCCGCTGCGGGGAGGGGCAAGGCGGATGCTCCGGCCCGAGAAGCGCCGAGAGCTTCTGAGACAAGCCTCAGGGTTTCGTAAGAAACCCTAAACCCTAAACCCGAAACCCTCAACCCGAAATCAGGGTTTGTAGGGAGTTTTTAGGGGATCTGGTGGGTTTTGAGGGGTTTGAGGGAGCATGAGCTTCTGGGTGTGTCAGGAGCCTATGGAGATGCTATGGGTTTCGGGGGCGTAGGATGTTCTAGGATATTGCAGGCTTCGGGGCTTAGTTTTGCCTAGGATCCTGTTCCCGAGCCCAACTAAAGGTTAATTTTCGGGATGAAAACTGATGTCCAAAAGAAAAAGGCTGCTGACACAACTATTCGGAAGCTCTGTGCTTTGGCCGGCATGGTGGGCACATCTACCAACTTGATCGGAATCTCCCGTTTCTGCTCCACATGATCAATGGGGTCGTGTGCCGGAACAGGCGGCATCAGCAGAACCTGCCCAGCTCTGCTGGGTTCTTGAGGATCTGGCAGAAGAATGGCCAGTTTCTCACTCAAGCTGGCCACGGCGTGCCTTCTCTGCATGTGGGTGACTTGCAGCTGTTCTGGTCCAGGTGTCACAGGCAGCACCTGGAATGGTAGCAGCGGAGGCGGCCACCCCGAAGGATCTGAGGTGGTTTCTTTGCTGTCGCTTGGCGCCTGGGCAGGCGGCTGTGGTGCTTCTGGCACCTCCTCTGAAGGTCGAACACCACTTTCGGGGCGATCTGTACGCGGGGCTACTTGCAGCCGGCGTCGCAGCTGCCCTGGCTTCTGGTGCTTCTGGTGCTTCGGTTGCTTCTGTTGCTTTGGGCGCGCGGGCTGCGCAGGCTGCACTGTCTGCGGCGCCGGCGCCGTCCGAAGGGCAGTTGCAGGGATCGTTCGTGGCCGCGGCATCCGCGGCCCTGCCATAACACTCTCGACAGCGGCACGGCTGTACGGTTGGAAGATGTGCCTCCGCAAGCGAGTGTCGAACAAAGTCGGTGCACGGGTGTCCTCATCCCATCCTGGCCGAGGACTTCCTCGGCTTTGGCTCTGGCTTCGGGGCTCGGTGCCCCGACGCTGCCGCGGGGCAGCACCACGTGGGCGGGCGGGAGCCGAACCCCTACGGCCCTCGGTGCCCCTCCTCCTAGTCACTGGCTCCGAGAGCATGAGGCAGCGACCACAAAAGTCACAAAAGCCTTTGAGCAACCAGGTCCATACCTACTCATCCTAACAAGCTCGAGCCCTTGGAGGCTGCAGATTCAAAATGCTGCAACATTCCTGTCACTGCCGTCCATGCACAAAAATGATGATACCAACTACGCCCGCGTTTAGCTACCATCAACGCAACGCCCCATGATTAAGCCCTCCCTAGAACCCTGTAACTAAGCCCCATGAGGCCCACTGAACAAAGCCATTTTTTGAAAATAACGGAAGCCTGAAATGCCACCAAAGCCCTTATAACTTACAACTTCTAAACCCAGCAACCTGGCTGTGTCTCAACTTCAAGAGAACCTCTAGACATCTCAAACCCTAAACCCTAAACCCTAAACCCTAAACCCTGGGGTCGACCTCCTTGGCCGGGTTTAAGGCGGCTGTTTAGGGCTTCCAGCGGGAGGGGGAGGGAGCTTAAGACTCCGCACTCTCGCATCGCGGATCTTGGTTCCTGACCTCTGCGCCCCCTCAGATATGAGAATGACATCGAAAGTCTTGAGTCCAACAGTCCGGGGTTTCGTGCTGCCTCTCACATTTATACACTCACCAGCGGACACATGCTTTTTGTCTGTGGAGACGACGCTGTCGCAGGCATCCTGCGCCAAGGTTAGCGTTTTGGAGCTTGGCAGCTTCAGGGCTATGAATTAAGAGTTGAGGCGATTAGCATGTGGGCGTCACCCTTCGGACCAATGTTGCTGCTTTAAGAAAAATGATAAGTAACAAAAAGAGAGGCGCCCTCTGCAACCCATCTCCAGGACTCTCACATCCCACACTGCTTCAACGATCTCCAAGGGCATAGCTTAGCTTGCTACACCATGGGTCACCGTAGTATCCAGTTGTCCACTCACATGCTCTTAAATACAAGAAGATGGAAAGCTACCCGCGTCAGCCCCCATGTTTCATCCATGGGCCAAAAGACCCACCCTATCAACCCAAACTCTCGATTCCGACCCCGTAAACCCTAAACCCTAAACGCTGAACCCTAAACCCCAGCTAGACAAACCTCGAAGTCCTGCAACGGGTTCTCCAGATTTTCAGGGCGGGTCAAGGCGCTCGACGCGCATCATCGCACACTTACAAATTTGGGTCGGTTTAAAGGTTTACGGGAATCAGAGGGGTTGCAATTAAAGCCACGGAACCGACAACCGGGAACCGAGCTCGCAAAGATCCGAACCGGAGGCATTTCAAGCCCTCATCCAAAGACCTTTGGGCACTCCAGGCCCAACGCCTTTCAACAGTAGGTGGTCCAGTCTTTGTTTGGGGGAGAGGCTCAAGCGTCCTAGCTTCGGGGCCTTAATTCGTCTTGTAAAACCTTCCAGAAATCTATGGGCACACTTGTGAAGTTCAGTCCGCCGAATGGCGTCAATCCTGGGATTGAGCTGCTGTCGTCCTGCAAGAAGTCGGTCAAGCCACGCCCGACCTAAGACGAACACACTTTCATGGGAGGGACCTCACACAACCTAAACCTGGAACTTTACATGCCCAAGAAGAACTCAGGGTCAACGTCGTCTTCTCCGGACTCAGATCCGAGACCTTATAGGAGGCAGATGCCCAGACCGAGTCCCCAAACCAGGACCCGATTAACTTTGGGTGTTTGTGGGGTTTAGAATTAGGGCTTAAGGTTTGGGGTTTAGGGTTTAGGGTTTAGGGTTTAGGGTTTAGGGTTTAGGGTTTAGGGTTTAGGGCTTAGGGTTTAGGGTTTAGGGTTTAGGGTTTAGGGTTTAGGCATCTCTCACAACCTGCAGCCGCCCGCCCCTTGACAAACGAGTCGCTAAGCCTTTCAACTGAAACCAGAAGCTCCTCAAGCCCCAAAACCACAACGCCCCAAAACACTTCAAATGATTTCCTTCTTACCCAGGTGTGAAACACACATGCTCCTGAGACACTCCGCTGAGCGCTGAACGTCCTGCACTCTTGGAGAGAACAAATCCGGCTCGTCGGCCTCACCATGCGAACACAAGAGCTGTATGGATTTTGTAAGGGTTGAGGATTCCGGAAGACAGTGAATGAGCTTATGTACACTGCAATTGAGGAGTTGGGACGTAGTTTGGCACATCTCCAGAAAGTGTTATTTCGAGTCACGGGCGCAAGGCGACTTCTCGGTACGGACGACGACGACGACGACGACGACGACGACGACGACGACGACGACGACGACGACGACGACGACGACGACGACGACGACGACGACACGACGACGACGACGACGACGACGACGACGACGACGACGACGACGACGACGACGACGACGACGACGACCCCTTGGTCAGTTGCACTAATCAGACGACAACATGCAATGCGACGGAGTTTAGGGTCTAGGCATTGTCGTGCTCTGGGAACACTGCAACCTCAGCCCTGAGAATCTCAGGATGAGACGGTGGCCACTGCTGAGTGGCAGCCGCAGGGCGCAAGCAGCCATGGCCGACGAGTACTGTGGAGCGACGAACTCATTTTCAGTCTCAATCGGCTTCACCCGTTTTGGGCAATCTCGCTGGTTCACACGCGACAGCACAAACACCAGCAGACATGTGTGACTCAATGAATGACCCTCTGACCAGGGAGCCGGTCTTCATTTTCTGGCAGCCGCACGCCGGTTGCCGCTTTGTGGTTTGAGCTCTGGTTTCGAGCTCTGCCGTTCAGAGACGATGGCTGCGAAGGACGTGGCGCTCGCGAAATATGTATATGCATATATGCATATATGCATCTGCAAGAATCGTGTGTGTGTGTGTGGCTTGGGTCTAGATTTTTTGGCGCAGTGTTTCGACTGATCACCCGCGTGGCCACGTCTGGCACAGCGCAGTATCATGCAGCATGAGTGAGGGTCTGTTTCTAGCCGTTTTAAGCGTTCTGTGGTATTCTGTGGTCGAGGAGCATTGCCTCAACCTTCCGCAGCACAGTTGCACTCCAGACGCCACAATCGCCTGGGCAAGGGTCCCGTGGCTGTGTTTACACGGAGTTTTGGGCCAGAACACTGGTTCTTCTGCACGCATATGCGCGCAAGCCCAACAACAGCGAAGCCACAAACCTGGCTTGGGTGAGGAACGGTGGGGTGTCATGCCACTTCCGCTTCATTTGGAACCGTGCCCTGAGGACACCCAAGACGGATCCCTCGTTTTCCGTCAGACCCCATGGAAGAGCTGGGCCATGCACTCGCGTGGCTTCAAGCCTGGTGGTCCTGCAAACATCGCACAGGCGCTGCATCTGGGGTGTGAGAAATGGGGCTTCAAACTCTTTAGGGTTCCGGGTGTGTGGGGTGCAAACCAGTATGCGAGGTTGAGGAGGCTTAAGCCCACATTACACTGAAACGGCTGTATCAAATGCGGAATCTGGACCTCAGAGGTGCAACGACCCTAGCGCCCATCTACAGAGCGAAAAAAAGCGGTCCGAAGAAGAATCCAAATTTGATGCCACGCAGTCAAAAAACAACTACATACGAGTACAGATGTGGTACAGTGGAGTGGAGAGGCCTGGGTTGAGTGGATTCCAAATGCGTGGAGTGCGGAGCGGAGTGTAGTGAACGAGTACGTCGGCTGCGGAGTGAGGAATTGACGGAAGTGTCTCATGATGAGTGAAGGGATGTGGCAACCTGGTGTTGCGCGGCGCTCCCCCAAGCGATGTGGAGCGTGGAGTGAAGAACGGCGTGTGGAACATGGAGCGCGGGGTGGAGCATGGGGTGTGGAGCGTGCACTTCACATTTGCGGGGTATCTCAACCCCCCCCAAACGGAGAGAATCATCACTGTGAGGAAAAGTCCCGAGGAAATGGGGATGTGCGGGGAGGTCCATCGTGTCTCGCAGCAAGTGCGCACTGTCATCCTCAACCCCCCATCCCCTGAACTCTGCAACACAAAGTTCGGCGCCTTTGCCACCTCCGCAATGTCTTTCTCGCATGTCCTGGTTGCTCAGTCAAGGGACAAGAGTTGATCTCAGTTCCGGGGCGAAGATGGGTAGTACCTGGGTTGGAGACTAGGTGTCATCCAGATCCAATGAGTTCTATCTGCGGGACAGCTTCCACAGCACCTAGAGCCACTCGAGTGCGTAGCCCAATTCCACTGCTAAACGACTGCGATGATTGATCCCGCACGTCAGGTCAAGCGCAGGACTCAGCGTCTAAGTCTTGGGGCCTGGGATCTACACACCCTCAGCCTCGGCCCCCACACTGAAAGCCCTTGCGACGCATTTTACGACATCGGCACACTGCGTGCGCAACTCTAAACCGTGCGCGGAAACACCTCGCCTAGTGGGTCAAACAATATCTGACATCGTCCATGGGTCCTATCACTGCGGGACAATAAACATCCGAAGTTCCAAAGGCACAAGGCAACGTCGAACCCAAACACCATGAGCACGCAGAGCAAGCGGCCACGTAGAGACGATGCTGTCGTAGGCATCCTGCACCAAAGTTAGCATTTTGGAGCTTGGCAGCTTCAGGGCTATGAATTATGAGTTGAGGGGATTAGCACGCGGGCGTCACCCTTCGGACCAATTTTGTTGCTTTAAGAAAAAATGGCGCCCTCTGCAACCCATCAGGAGGACTCATCTGACACTCACCGCGCTGGCACGTTTTTTGGAGATATCAGCTAGATGACAGCACAACGTGCTCGGACCCGGACTGACCAACCCTTAAATCCTGCAACGGGTTCTCCAGATTTTCGGGCCGGGCCAAGGCTCTCGACGCACATCTTCGCGCATCGCTTACAACTCTGGGAAAACATCAGAGGGGTTGCACGGGAAGCCACAGAACCGACATGGGAACCGGGGACATCGGAGTTGCGGGAAGCGAACCCTTGAGGATCCAAACCCAAAGCTCCGACCCGGAGGGGCTCCTTTCGTTGGGAACCCTTTCAGACATTTCAAGCCCTCATCCGGAGCCTCTGGGCACTCCAGGCCCAAAGCCCAACCCTGACCCTTAAGCTGCTTTGGTCCTGCCAAAGGTCGGTGAGGCCACGGCCGACCT